TGCAGTCCAAGACCTGTTCGGCTGAAGGTCAAAGACTCTTCAGCTGAAGGTCAAAGACTCTTCAGCTGAAGGTCAAAGACTCTTCCTCACCTTTAGATTTGATCCATGTTTCTGTGGATGTTTTATAGAATATATATATTGAACCGTCCCACTCTCTCTCTCTCTCTCTCTCTCTCTCTGTGACTCCTGTTCCTGTTACATCAGTCCTTTATTTTACACCAACAGTGAATGAAGTACATCTCTCTGCGCACACACACACACACACACACACACTGTACTCTTGCTCCGCCCCATCCTTTTCCGTTTGTTCTTCACCAGTTCCTGGTACTGTTTGATAGTTCTCAGTTCTTCACCAGTTCCTGGTACTGTTTGATAGTTCTCAGTTCTTCACCAGTTCCTGGTACTGTTTGATAGTTCTCAGTTCTTCACCAGTTCCTGGTACTGTTTGATAGTTCTCAGTTCTTCACCAGTTCCTGGTACTGTTTGATAGTTCTCAGTTCTTCACCAGTTCCTGGTACTGTTTGATAGTTCTCAGTTCTTCACCAGTTCCTGGTACTGTTTGATAGTTCTCAGTTCTTCACCAGTTCCTGGTACTGTTTGATAGTTCTCAGTTCTTCACCAGTTCCTGGTACTGTTTGATAGTTCTCAGTTCTTCACCAGTTCCTGGTACTGTTTGATAGTTCTCAGTTCTTCACCAGTTCCTGGTACTGTTTGATAGTTCTCAGTTCTTCACCAGTTCCTGGTACTGTTTGATAGTTCTCAGTTCTTCACCAGTTCCTGGTACTGTTTGATAGTTCTCAGTTCTTCACCAGTTCCTGGTACTGTTTGATAGTTCTCAGTTCTTCACCAGTTCCTGGTACTGTTTGATAGTTCTCAGTTCTTCACCAGTTCCTGGTACTGTTTGATAGTTCTCAGTTCTTCACCAGTTCCTGGTACTGTTTGATAGTTCTCAGTTCTTCACCAGTTCCTGGTACTGTTTGATAGTTCTCAGTTCTTCACCAGTTCCTGGTACTGTTTGATAGTTCTCAGTTCTTCACCAGTTCCTGGTACTGTTTGATAGTTCTCAGTTCTTCACCAGTTCCTGGTACTGTTTGATAGTTCTCAGTTCTTCACCAGTTCCTGGTACTGTTTGATAGTTCTCAGTTCTTCACCAGTTCCTGGTACTGTTTGATAGTTCTCAGTTCTTCACCAGTTCCTGGTACTGTTTGATAGTTCTCAGTTCTTCACCAGTTCCTGGTACTGTTTGATAGTTCTCAGTTCTTCACCAGTTCCTGGTACTGTTTGATAGTTCTCAGTTCTTCACCAGTTCCTGGTACTGTTTGATAGTTCTCAGTTCTTCACCAGTTCCTGGTACTGTTTGATAGTTCTCAGTTCTTCACCAGTTCCTGGTACTGTTTGATAGTTCTCAGTTCTTCACCAGTTCCTGGTACTGTTTGATAGTTCTCAGTTCTTCACCAGTTCCTGGTACTGTTTGATAGTTCTCAGTTCTTCACCAGTTCCTGGTACTGTTTGATAGTTCTCAGTTCTTCACCAGTTCCTGGTACTGTTTGATAGTTCTCAGTTCTTCACCAGTTCCTGGTACTGTTTGATAGTTCTCAGTTCTTCACCAGTTCCTGGTACTGTTTGATAGTTCTCAGTTCTTCACCAGTTCCTGGTACTGTTTGATAGTTCTCAGTTCTTCACCAGTTCCTGGTACTGTTTGATAGTTCTCAGTTCTTCACCAGTTCCTGGTACTGTTTGATAGTTCTCAGTTCTTCACTGACCTGAGGAAGTCTTCTCTGTTTTCACAGGAACCTTGGGAAGTCCGGCCTCCGTGTGTCCTGTCTGGGGTTAGGTAGGAGCTCAACACTAGAATAAACCTCTGTGTGTGTGTGTGTGTGTGTGTGTGTGTTCAACTCACACCCTCCTCTCTGTCTCCCTCTTCAGGAACATGGGTGACATTCGGTGGCCAGATAACAGATGAGGTGAGAGCAGGTTTATTTGACCTGAGTTAGAAATGAACGATGTGACGGAAGAAGACGTTTAACGATCACTGATGATGGAAACGTTGTTGTCATGGAGCGACAGCAGCAGCAGCAGTAACAGCAGCAGCAGTAACAGCAGCAGGAACAGCAGCAGCAGCAGGAACAGCAGCAGTAACAGCAGCAGTAACAGCAGCAGTAGCAGCAGCAGCAGTAACAGCAGCAGCAGGAACAGCAGCAGTAACAGCAGCAGCAGTGACAGTAACAGCAGCAGCAGTAACAGTAACAGTAACAGCAATAACAGCAGCAGCAGTAACAGCAACAACAGCAGCAGTAACAGCAGCAGTAGCAGCAGCAGTAACAGCAGCAGTAGCAGCAGCAGCAGTAACAGCAGCAGTAGCAGCAGCAGCAGTAACAGCAGCAGTAGCAGCAGCAGTAACAGCAGCAGTAGCAGCAGCAGCAGTAACAGCAGCACTAACAGCATCAGCATTATTGCTGTTCCTCTCAGTCTCTCTTCAAACAGATGAAAAGGTTTAACAGCTCAGACTCAGTGTCTCCCCCTTGTGTTGGTCCAACAGATGGCGGAGCAGCTGATGACTCTGGCGTATGAGAACGGCATCAATCTGTTTGACACGGCCGAGGTCTACGCTGCAGGAAAGTGAGTGTGTGCCAAACATCACAACAAACACTGAGCCAGGATCACACACACACACACACACACACCAAGCCAACCCTGTTGCCATGGTTTTCTGTCAGAGTGAAAGGCTTGGATCAGGAGTTCTTCCCATCGTCCGACTCTGAACCGTCGGACAGTTACGACAGTGACAGTGGTGACGACTGAACACCGTGTGGTGTAGGTACAGTCGGTCCTGGTCGGTTCCCTTCTCAGAGTCTGGACCAGAGTTTACAGACCGGGTGATGGTGGTGGTGATGATGGTGGTGATGATGGTGATGATGGTGATGATGGTGATGATTGTGATGGTGATGGTGATGGTGATGGTGGTGGTGGTGATGATGGTGATGGTGACGGTGATGATGGTGATGGTGATAGGACTAGTCTGGATTAATCTGTCCTTGTTTTAATCTGGGTTGTTGTAAACAATCAGCAGGATTATTGAGGACTAACAGCTAACCCTAACCCTAACCCTGTAATCCAGAATATTCTGGTGTATGATCTGCTCTTCTCTGACTTCACTCTGTGTGTGTGTGTGTGTGTAAATAAATTCCATCTTCATTTTCATTTGGTGACAGTAATTGAACAGGTTGAGTGAGACGGAGGCTGATTGGCTGTCAAATTGGAGGTGGGGGGGGTGGAGTGTGTGAGGATGACCATAACTACCTGTTAGTAGGTGAATAATTAGTTTAGGTTAGTTAAGTTAATGAGTTGAACTGTGGTAGCTGAGGTTGGTCTACAGACCTGACGTCTGTCTTTAACCTCTTCTTCTCTGCTCTGCAGGGCTGAGGTGGTGCTTGGAAACATCATCAAGAAGAAGGGCTGGAGGTACGAGGCATCTCCTCTTCTTCCTCCTCTTCTTCCTCCTCTTCTTCTTCTTCTTCCTCCTCTTCTTCCTCT